TAAACAAGAATATGTCATTCGTTTTAAGTCGGCTTGACATGCGTTTTGTAACACTTTATTCAGGTATCATGTATTTCTCTAGCATTTTAGGGTTTTGGACTGGGACTCGATGAGTTAGGAAGCTTCAACTCGTCGAGTAGGGATCATTTTGGACGCATGATGAATGGTCTGCTTGACGAATTGGAAGGCCCTAACTCGACGAATAGACGCTGGAAAGGAAAACCCTAATTTTTCTGGATTTTCACCCTATATAAAGAACTTATGGCTCATTTGTGGCCTCCCTCATCGTCTTTATAGCCCAAAAAAACTCTAATTCGAGCCTTGTACCTTCTTAAGTGTGTGTGAGAGCCTAAGAGAGTGATTTTGGTGCGATGGTGAAGGAATTTGGAGCTTGAAGAGGTTGAAGCAAAGGGAGAGGTTGTAGATCCGACATCTACTCTGTGTTAGCAGCCATTTGGAGATAAAAAGTATTTATCTTGGTTTTCCATTTCTTAGATCTTCCCTTATGCAAGAATATGGTCATTTATAGTGCAGTGTGGTGTCACTCTCGGGTTTGAGCTTATAATGAAGACATGGTCTTAGATCTAGACTCCTTTAGGCCCCATGGACATAAAGTTGTCGACTTTATCTAGTCTTGGCCCTTCTCCATGCCTAAACCTCTTCCTAATCTTAGTTTTGAGTGTTTTAGCCTCTTGAGGCCTTGCATGCATGTAAAGTTGACAACTTTATGTGGTAACTACACCCTAGGGGACTGGATCTGTAGTTTAGAGCTTTTAATTCGACTGGAAAGGACTTAATATGAAAAAGGTGAAGGAACTAGACGAGTTGCTTAGCTAACTCGACGAGTCGAGTTAGGTTTTCCCGCATTTTGAATCCTAGATAAACCCGACGAGTTAGTTAGGGTTTTCCCCGATTTTCTGAACATTGAAGAAACTCGACGAGTTGCTAGATGCACTCGATGAGTTCAGGTCAACATGGGTTGTTGACCTGGATTTTGACCATGGTTAACCAAGTTTGAATTTAAGGGGGTGTTTGGGATTGCTTTTGAACATCAAAAGTTCTTTTGGTAGAAGGGTTTTTTTTATAGAAGGACTTTATGCAAAAGATGATATTTAAAATATGTTTGGATTAATAAAATAACTTTTGGTCTAACTTTTATATGTAAAGTCATAAAAAGTCACAAAATGTGACTTTTTGAAACCCTTCTTTTTCCTCATTGCAAAAAGTCATTTCAGAAGAACTTTTTTATTATCCAAACAACTTTTGCTTTTTTTGATTTTTTAAAAAAGTTAAAAGTTAAAAAGCTATTCTAAAAGCAATGCCAAACACCCTCTAAGAGTATTTTTGATATTTCGGGATTTTGACAAATAAGTTACTTGGTGATTGTAGGCGGATGAGTTGGAGTTGTGGACTAGGATTGATCTTATCGGTTCAACATTTCTTGAGGTGTGAGTCTCCTCACCATACCAATGGGTCGAAGGCAACAAGGTCAGCTCATTATATGTAATATGGAATGTTAGTTGATTGGGTGATATGTGATATGATAGGTATCATTATGATACTTGCACAGAAGACCTCAGGGATTCTCGGGGCACATAGGTGTAAGACCTTAGAGGGTTTCCATGGCATCCTAGGTGAAGACCTTGGGGGGTCCCCGAGGCATTTAGGTGTAAGACCTTGGAGGGTTTCCACGACATCCTAGGTAAAGACCTTGGGGGATTCTTACGACATTAGAGTATAAGACCCTAGAGGGTTTCTAGGGCATCCTTAGTCAAGACCTCAGGGGGAAGGGGGGTTCCCGAGGCATTGGACTAAGAGCATGTGGAGGATCCCATGGCACCCGGAGTAAGACCCTGGAGGGTTTCTAGGGCATCCTTATATGTTTATATGCATGGCTTATGTGGTTTGTGTAGCTGATATAGCTAATATTGATTATATGATTATGTGGATTGGGTAGGGTATGCTCTGGGGAACTCACTATGCATTAGTTTATTGTTTGTTGGTTGTTTCAGGTACTTTAGAGCCTACGGGCAAAGGCTCGGCGTGATGACGCGGCATGCACTCTTTGGTGTTTTGTTGGGACACTCTGATGTTTTTGGATAATTTATTTGATATTATGGATTTTTGAAAAACAATGTTGTTGAAATATTATGTCTTAAGAATGGTTTTTGTTATATAAAAATGGGAAAAAAATTATTGGAAATTTGGGATGTTACACGATTTTTTCCAACATGTAATTTAGAGTTTGTAGATGATTTTAGACTATGACTTTGTTATTTTTAATGTTATATTCGATGAATTATAATCATTCAAAGATGAGATATCAAATCTGAAACATTTCAGCGTTTTAGCAAGAAATTTAAATTTTTTATTTTGATAAATTCTTTAAACAAACATATTTTTTTTTAAGTCGAATTGACATTCGGCTTTTTCCAACGTTTAATTTAGAGTTTGTAGATGTGTTTAGAGTATAATTTTATTGTTTTTTGTGTTATATTCAATGAGTTACAATCATTTAAACAAATGGTACAAAGTATAAACAATCAAACTTTGGCCGGTCCAAATGGCACAAGAAACATAAACATATTCATTTTTACGAGTTGTGTTGTATCAAACCCAAAAAAAATTCATTTTAATGAGTTTTAATGTATAAAACCCAGCAACATATTCATTTTAACGAGTTCTATTAGACCCAAAAACACGTTTTAACAAGTTTATTGTATGCATATAAAATTGTACCGGTCCAAATGGGTCCAAGAACTGGAAAAAAGGACATGGACCTGGACTCGGTAAGTCTCATCCGGTCCAATCCACGGTCCACAATATTCTTTGAAACTTTTCCGATCCAAGAGTCGGTTCGGTCTGGTTCAGTCCGATCCAAATGCTCACCCCTACTACTATATATATCCCCTCACTCATATAAATCACCACATCATGTGGAGACACACAAGTACTATTACACTCACATTGGGGGTACACATTACAATTGGGAGTATGTATATAGTTATCCTTTTCTTCTCATAAACCCCAACCCCCCCCCCCCCCTTTTTTTCTCATTGCTTCTTTACCCCTGAAATGAGGTTTTGTCTTTATATTGTCTTTTTTTTTTTTTTTTTTTCTGTTCTAATATTTTTAATAAAGACATATTATTATTATTATT